CATAATGAATTCATGACAATACTTTAGTAAGGATTTTATGGGTCTGCAGAGTGAAAAAGGAAGCAATGTTGCTGGAGTGTAATAAAATATTCATGTTATCCATCAAACCGTCTTACGTAACATCCTTGTTGTATTTCCCTAGTCATTGTAACGCTATTTTTCTTGTTTTAATAAGAATGATACACAGAAAACATTGTACTTATCGCTTTAATGTACCTTGTAATATAGTGTAATGAAAACCACCAGTGTATACTTCAAACGTATAATAATTATTGATTCACATATAAGAATTACACCACACTTAACACTACATACACGGTACCACCCTTTTTTTAACGTTGGGAAATGCATCAATTACAATAAATATGCTTACTTTGAATATATCAAACAATAAAATAATAAATGAATCACAACAATAGATTAATAATTCAGCTCTTGATTCGTCCCACTGCTGGGCACGTGTTGTCTCTTAATGCAGGAGGAAGAAAGGCCATGGTCTTTTAAAAAAAATGTTAGGTACTCTCAGATATGTCAGTTTCCTGGCTTTGTTTTCTTTTACCGTTTTAACAAGTGGTAATTATGTTGAAAAAAAAACATTTTTTTAAATGAGATCATGGTTTGAAACTGTTGAACTCAACGTATACGGATCAATGGGCTACCTCGCTTTAAATTACCTACTCTTGCCTCTGCGTTATAAATTGCGAGACCAAAATATTTATATCATAACTATCTTAAACCAATTAACTGAAAACTCATTTAAATTAAAAAAAACACAGTAAAAGTATTGCTTCATAACGTGTGTTTCTCAAAGTAGCTATTCCTGAGTATTTTATTAAATTAATATTTCAACTCTACTCAAAGCTCTAGATATTATTTTTCAAAGAATTTCATTTTTACAGTTTTTATGTTATTATTTCTATACTATGGTTCGCTAGATAGAATAAGCAAATAAAATTTTATTTTAGGATATATTAATCCTAAAAATCTATACATAAAATAAAATTGTAACTAAGCCGAATCTGTAAATTAAATATTTTTTGGAAAATCTTATTGAAATAAACATTATTATCGATACAGACGCCGAATCTATAGTTTTTAGAATTTTTGTCTGTCTGTCTGTCTGTCTGTTACCGCATCACAGAAAACCGCTGAAGGGAATTTGATGAAATCTGGTATGGTGATAGCTGGTTATCCGGGTCAACATATAGAATACTTTTTACCGTGGGAAAATGTCTCATTTCTGAGAAAAAATACAAAAACTGCATTGTAAGAGTATACTAATATGTAAAACCTAAGAATTCGATTTTTGGTCATCTGAACGCGGGTGGAGCCGCGGGCAATACTAGTGAATCAATAAAATCTATCAAAGTGTGGTGACATTGACCTATATCAGTAAACTATGTATAAAGAAACATCAGTCAGGTAGTATACGGAATGTGTTTACTACTGTGTTCACTACATACTTTAGTAAAAAAACCTGGGTCCAAACATGAATAAGCCATATCCATATCAATTTTTTTTTTGTGAATTTGAGATTATAGCAAAAAAAGTGGAAACTAACTTTTTTCCGACTATAAAAAAAGAGGAGGATTTTTACTAGTTTAATCTCAGAGTTTTTTTTAATGTAAAGGTTATGCCTGTGCCGACCTTAAATAAAAAAAAATTACTTAAAAAGTAAATATTTGTTGCATTAAATCTTAATAGAGTAGCTATATAAAAAAATCTAGAAAAATACATTTTTATTTTTCGATATTACAACTTTTCTATATAAAGCACCTCCCAACCAAACAATATGCTTTGCTAAAACTTTTTATCCCATATGAACTAGAGCAGTATTTTATTTTGTGCACGTTTTCTGGCAAAGTTTAATAAAATTTTGTTTAGTACATTGTAAATATGAATTTAGTTGAGCCAAACTATTTCAACTCCAACTGCGCGAAGAAATAAATTGTTTTAGTATCTTTTGTTTCTTTTTAAAAACTACGTAGGAATCATGACTTTGCACGACATTTTATTTGGTGTAAAAGGATAAAATTAATTAAAACCACGGCTTGATATTTTATAAATACTATTTTTTCTTCCGGTTCCACTCCTGTGTAAGCACTAAGTAAGTCAATAAAAAGTAACCTAAGTCCATCATCCCATGTCTCTGTCTGCCTTTCATAGAAAACTGTTCAGAGAATCAACCATGTAGTTTGTAGAAGCTTAAAAAGAATTTACTTTTACATTTACAATATTAGAAAGCTTTAAATGGCTCAGTAGATTACGAAATAAAAATCAGAAAGTGAGTCTGACCCGCACACTGAGGACTCTAAGATCAAACATTTTTGTTACATTTTAACTCATAAAAGAAATAATCATATATAGACATTTGAAGTTATATTTAGTAATTTTTTAACCTAAATTAATTAATAAACATATCAGTTGTATATATTTTTGATACCTCAATTAAATTGTTTGGAAGAATTTTTTTGAGACACACAAATTGACGCCTAAAATCCGTCATTATAATTATTAACTAAATTTTTATATAGCCTATAACACTCGCGTTATCGATACGAATCTAACCACGTATGTATCTTATTAAATAAAACTATCTTTTCGGATTATTTCGCGGATTTATTTTGATTTTTGGTTCCCGACGTTTCGAATGCTTTACAGCATCCATGGTCACGGGAGAGACTGAGGTGTTACATGTCTTAAAGATATAGTTGTTACAGACAGCCTACCCACAATTAACAAAATGAAAATTGCACCAATTACATTACAATATTTTTAACTTTAAACATTTTTATAATTTTAATTATAATTGAATATGGAAAATTATTTATTTAATTTTTGCTATTATTTTTATAATTATTACAATTTTAAAAATATTAATTAGTAATCTATATTTAGTGTTGCCATTATTATATTTATAACCATAAATAAAAATATAAAAATATAGTATTAATTATTAAAGCCATATAATTGTTCTATGTGTAATTTAAAAAGTTAAAATTAATTACGGATAATCATTTTAATTTAGTTTGCTATTATTTAAAACAACTTACTAAGCAACACTATTAATATATACTTTTACAATTACATTACATATTTGTAAAAGTATATATTAATAGTGTTGCTTAGTAAGTTGTTTTAAATAATAGCAAACTAAATTAAAATGATTATCCGTAATTAATTTTAACTTTTTAAATTACACATAGAACAATTATATGGCTTTAATAATTAATACTATATTTTTATATTTTTATTTATGGTTATAAATATAATAATGGCAACCCTACTAATTAATATTTTTAAAATTGTAATAATTATAAAAATAATAGCAAAAATTAAATAAATAATTTTCCATATTCAATTATAATTAAAATTTATAAAAATGTTTAAAGTTAAAAATATTGTAATGTAATTGGTGCAATTTTCATTTTGGTAATTGTGGGTAGGCTGTCTGTAACAACTATATCTTTAAGACATGTAACACCTCAGTCTCTCCCGTGACCATGGATGCTGTAAAGCATTCGAAACGTCGGGAACCAAAAATCAAAATAAATCCGCGAAATAATCCGAAAAGATAGTTTTATTTAATAATGTCAAACATTCGCGTAAATCTAAGAAAGTATCACGTATGTATCATCAAAATCGGCTCACGTGTTTGGCCTCTAGAACGCCACATAAGAACAAACATACATACATAGACAGACTGGTAAACACATTATATTACATAAAAAGGCAACATACGGACTATCAAACAAACAGACACAGGAATAATTATAGAGTTTCTTTCGTCGTAATTTACGGAACTCTAAAAATTAGAAATTTAATAAAACTTGCTAGAATTTTAGGAATTTCTAAAGCGTCGAGTAAATGTAATTAAATTTTGTAAATTCAAATATTCATTGTGGATATATGATATTGTGAGAGCTCGTTGCGACACTGTTGCCTTCGCGTGCAGAATCTTCATATCTCGCGCACAACATTTTAAGTGTAATTTCCATATTATATTTCAGTAAAGAAGTTTTGTGTTTTTTTTTTTAAATCGTGATGTTGCTAAATTTAAAGTATTTAATACTATATTTTTATACATTTATTTTTATTTTATTCGTACTACTATAGTGTTATAAATGCGAAATTTGACGTGTTTTTGTGTGTCTATGTCTCTATTACTTCACGCTGCTTTTAGCGTGGCAACTAAACACCCAAGTCCATATGTCCATATGGTATAGTACAGCCTGTGCAATAAAATTGTGCAGTGTAAGCAATACAATTTTCATTATTCATGCAAAAGGCACATAGGGACGCAACCGAGCGAAGCGTAGGTAATTCGCTTGTATAAAATAATATAAGAATGTATAAAATAATATAATATGAGTTTAGAAAGATTATAAAGATATTATATATTTTCGATGTGATTTTACAAATATAACGATCTCTATTTAACCGACCAACTACATTGTATAAATAAAAATGAATCACCGAAATGTATGTACGCGCATAACTTCCGATCGACTGCACCAAATTGGATAATTGTTTTTTTTTTGTATTTGTTATTGTTAAAACAAGTTTTGTATAGAAGAAAAACTTAAAAGATTTTTTTTACTAGAATAAGATTTTTTTTTAATCTCGTGATATGAAAAGTGAGTTAGTAAAATAGTTTTTATCCCGGAAATCATCCCTTAAGGGGGTGAGAATGGGGATGAAAGTTTGTATGGGGAAGCAAGGTAGAGACGAACTCGAGCAAAGCGAGGGTGAGTCGCTAGTATGTATATAATTTTTCTTATTAATTTTCCTACTCTCTAAAATTTATTTTTTCGAACGTTTTTGCCAGTTTATTCTATTTATTTTTGTTAACATTTCTATGCTTTGCAACAAATATGGTCGCGGGAGTGACTAATGTTAGACTATAAGATTTATTTTCCCAATACGAAAGTTTTATTTTCTAAGTAACACACAATCATTAAAACAATATATTGCAAATGTAATTTATATTTCTTCAACAGTTGCACCTACGACTTCCTCGAGATCATCGAGTCGGGCTTGGACAACCTTACTGAGTATGGAGAGGACTGGGTTGCACATGATCACCACAGCTTTGCATCTGAAAATGAGGTTACTATTATTATACTTCTTTTGCTTTATTTTCAATTAAAACGGACATAGCAATATGATCAAAGTTTTAGAACAATTTTCATTGAACTATTTTAAAACGTTGATGAATAATAATAAAATGTTATTTATCTAGAATTATTCTAGGACTTGTAATTTTCCCATTTTTCGTAAATGGAAAATACCCAAGAAAATTTTCTAAAATTGTAACTTTCTTTCTTTCTCTGAGTTTTAAAACCTCAGTACATATCATTGAGTAATTATATTTTCATTATTTTCTATCATTTATTATTTATATAGAAAGGTATGTAGAAGTATGCAATGTGAATGCCATAAATATTATAAATGCAAAAGTTTGGATGGACGTTTGTTACTCAATCACACCAGAACGGCTGAACGGATCTGAATGAAATTGGGCACAGAGATTGATTATAATCTGGAATAGCACATAAGTTACTTTTTATCCCGGAAAAAGTTGCGATTCCCGTGGGACAGATTTGTTTTTGTTTTTCTTGTGAGTCGCAAGTGATGATGTTCTCCTAGCCGATTCCGGCTACGGCGGCCAATCTCATTGAGATTAGCCAACTGCGCAGGAGATATTATAGTGCTCAAGTGTACGCGCAGACACAAGTGCACTCTCTATTCCTATCACTTTCATACTCCGGTGGGACGACCACTCGACACGACCGGTAAGAGTTAAGGCGCAGGACCGACGGCTTTACGTGCTCTCCGAGGCACGGGGGTGAAACACCGCCAACTTCCCAACTCCGGGCTGTTACTGAGACTTACTATACAGAAAGACTCAATAACTAAACTTGGCCCGACCCGGGACTCGAACCCAGGATCTGCAATATAACAAAAAATCTAAATGACAGAGTACTATTAATGAGAAATGGCTGGACAGATTCTAATGAAATTTAGTACACAGATACAGACTATAACCTGGAGTAGCACGGACGCTGTAAGTACTCTAGGGACGCACCAAAGCGAAGCGCAACTCAGCTAGTAATCCATACTAATATTATAAATGTGATAGTGTGTTTGTTTGTTTGTTTGTCTGTCCTTCTTTCACGTGGAAACGGAATAACAGATTGGTTTGATATTTTGTGTGGAGACAGTTGGAGGGCTAGAGAATTTTTACTGCGGGAGGTTATCTCATTCCCACGGGAAAGCACGTTATAATACAGACCAAAAATCATATTTATGATCAGAATTACTTGAAACTTGACATTAATACTCTTCAATATAATTAAATAAATATGTGTTTTAGCATTTTTCGAAATTCATCCCATCAAGGAGTAAAATAGGGCATATAAGTTTATATGAAACCTACCTATTAGTTATTGTAGTTTTTTGTAGTTTTAGCGGGTACTGCTAGTACCTACTATATAAATTATTCTTAACAGGTATGGGAGGAACTAGAAACCTTACTCCCTGAGTCCGATGCAGTCAGCGCGGGTTGGTCGCGCGACTCGCACTCTGCCCGCGCGAGGCGACTGTGCGGCGACTGGAGTGGCAAGCTGAAGCTACTGCGCTACCAGTCGCGCGGCCACGCGTTGAAACTACGTTTCAGATCGGATCACTCACGACATTTTGCTGGATATCGAGCTAAACTGACACTAACTGATAGTAAGTAGCTTTATTATAATATTACCTTTTGAATGAGAGAAAATATTTGTAAAATTAGCCCTTTAAACGTCTCTTTGCTAGACACGGGCTTTCCTTAAACGCAAGGAGATCTGGCCATAGTCCACACTTTGGCTATATGCGAGTTATTGGACTTCATACGTCTTTGAAGACGAGTTAGGTTCTCTAAAACGTATTCCGTCACGTATTAGCAATTGGTATATTGAAAATGGTTTTCTCATAAAAATATTACAAGTCATGTGTGGTCCGGCATTTCAACTCGCTTCACTTAGTTCTCCAAGCGACACCTTACCACTAGGCTAGTATTACTTAAATGTATGTAATTACATATAAACAAATAAAGATTTTTAGGCTTGATGAAGTTGCTATTTTAAAATTAAAAATAGATATTTATAAAAATATATATATATATACATATATAATTTATACCAGTTGACTTTCCTAAACCAACGTTTAACAAAATAGCGATAAATTTATCCAATAAAGCTAGTATCGGTAAATCACTGCGACAACTATTCCCATTACGCAATTTCCGAAATCCCCTAACAAGTATATTATAACGTGACATAACTTATGTTCGATATCAACCCCTCTAGCTTTGGGCTGATGACGTTTCCCAAAGGAAATAAAACAAACAGAAAACTTTTAATATTATCAGAACCATATTAAATAAAACTATTTTTTCAAGGGTTTATTTTTATAATACTTTCTTAGATTTATGCGAATATTTGACATCTATACTAATATTATAAATGTGAAAAATTGTGAGTATGGATGTTTGTTACTCTTTCACACCAGAACGGCTGAACGGATCTGGATGAAATTTTGCACAGAGATAGATTATGGTCTGAAATAACATATAGGCTACTTTTTATATGGGTTTTTTATATCATGGGTTTGTTTTTGTCTCAAGAGGTCCCCAGAGGCGATCCCGAGCAAAGCGAGTGTGAGCCGCTAGTTTTAAATAAAACTATCTTTACGGATTTTTTCGCGGATTTATTTATTTATTACTAGCGACTTACCCTCGCTCCACTCGGGTTCGTACCTTGTTACGTTTTAACGTTTAGTTTAGATTTCTCAGAGTATCCTATATATTGACCCAAACAATCAACTATCACCGTACCGAATTTCATCAAAATCCCTCTAGTAGATTTTCCGTGATGCGATCATAGACGGACAGACAGACAAAAATTCTAAAAACTATAGATTCGGCCTTTAAACTATAGATTTTCCAAAAAATATTTAATGTACAGATTCGACTTAGTCACAATTTTATTATATGTATAGATTATGGTTTTATTTTTATTTTGATTTTTTGTTCCCGACCTTATAAATTCTTTATAGAAAACATAGTCGCGGAAGACAGTTAGGCTTTTACGTCTCAAAAAGTCGTACTTATTACAGACGAAATCTACGCATAAACATATACAAAAATTTTGAACAGAAAACAATAGAGTAAGTATATGATTTAAAAATATTTAGTTTTTCTTATTTACTGTGATCATTACTAATTTAAAAGACAGATCTACAGATTTGATATATAAGGTTCACAATCACGCTACCTTTGCAAGATCATCCATTTAATTAATTCACAATTTGTTTCAAAAGAAAAGCTTCTTTAAATCGCCTTTAATTTTTATACTCTAATATTAATGTTACGGCTTAAGTCGAATCGTAGAATAAGCCGATGAAATCGTTTTACATTTAACTAAAGACCCATCATCTGGAATAAAAAATGGCCAGATCTTTTTTAAATTTCATGGAAGCCGACATTTACAATTATAGTATTATAGGTACTACTATACTATAGTAATTTAGCTTCTATATATAGTCACAATTGGTACATAAATATAACTTACTAGCAATGCCCGCGGCTCCGCCCGCGTGCAGATTACCAAAAACCAAATTCTTAGGTTTTACATATTAGTATACTCTTACATTGCAGTTTTTGTATTTTTTCTCAGAAATGGGACATTTTCCCGCAGTAAAAAATCCTATATGTTGGCCCGGATAACCAGCTATCATCATACCAAATTTCATCAAAATCCCTCCAGTAGTTTTTCTGTGATGCGGTAACAGACATACAGACAGACAGACAGACAGACAAAAATTCTAAAAACTATATATTCGGCCTCTGTATCGATAATAATGACTATTTCATTACATAGTTAGATTTTCCAAAAAATATTTTATGTAAAGATTCGACTCAGAATTTTATTATATTTATAGAAAATAATTGGATTTCTGGTTAGAATAATTGTGAACGCTGTTTGTGTTTAGCTTCCTGCTCTATCTCTTGCAGTTTAAAAGAGAGAACATACTGAAGCATGACTCAGGTTTCCGGTTTAACTGTAACAACAAAGAAACCAATACATTTATAGCACCTGTTGTTCAAATATGAATTTCGCCTCATATCGAAAGTTTTGTAAAGAACAATGTTTTTCATTTCCAACTTGCTTCTGCTTCCGTTTCAACTTTTCAATAGAAATACGGACGTCGCGTCCACTACACGCCACTGCCAACTTTACCTTACAATATAGAGCTTTAATTTGCTTGTCTCTTACTTTTAACTTTCTAAACTTTTGTTGTAAACTCTACTTCAAATATTAGTAGTATTATTTACCACTCGATGATCGCTAGCGAATGCGTCAATCTACATTAATTTTATAAGTCAATTAAAGTATATGAGTCTCATTGCATATAGTTACAATTTCGATAGTTCTCGCACAGTTGAGAAGCTCTATTAGTCTGCAAACATGACATGTGTAATATGAGAAATTTGATTTTTCTGCGCACATCGATGTTCAATTGCCATATCTGTACATATAATAAAATTCTAAGTCGAATCTGTACATTAAATATTTTTTGGAAAATCTTATTGAAATAGACATTATTATCGATACAGAGACCGAATCTATAGTTTTTAGAATTTTTGTCTGTCTGTCTGTCTGGGAATATATAACGAGAAAACCACTGGACAGATTTTGATGAAATATGGTATGATGATAACTGATTATCCGGGTCAACATGTACGATAATTTTGTACTGCGGAAAAATATCTCACCTCTGAGATATCTATACTAACCGTCAAAACGTATCTAGAGACGTACCCAAGCGGAGAGCAAGGCGAGTGTCTAGTATATTATAAAATTTAAATTAAAAATTAAATAATAAAAGTAAAATCGCTTATTAGGTTTTTTAACAAGACGAAGGAAGGTTTTCTAAAGATAAAGCTCTAATTAGTCTATTAGTCGGGGTACGCCATTTTATTGAACACAGGATACGTTAACGACTGTAGTAAAGTGATACAAAATAATAGCATACAATTTCACCAGTTTCCAACAACTAATTGAAACTACAAGTACTTGCTGTAGAATGGAGCGGAATATCGTATACGAGCTCGATCGATGCAAAACGATGCTTTTAATTAACTTTTTGCTTTCCTCGTGATTTTTAATGATGCAATATAATAGGCTTGTTAACGCCCGATTTGTTCGCATTATTTGAATTCGCAGTACTTGGACAAAGAGTATTTAAACTGGGACGTTTCTTTACTTAATTTAGATAGTAGTTTGCAGCTAGTATAGTTTGCTTTCAACTGCCTTGGTGGTGTAGTGTCCTGGGTTCGAGTCCCGGGTCAGGCCAAATTTAGTTACTTAGTCTTTATGTTCAGTAAGCCTCAGTAACGGAGTTGGGAAGCTAGCGGTGTTTCACCCTGTGCTTCAGAGAGCACTTAAAGCGGTCCTGCGTATAGGTGCGGTCGATTACGCATCGGTATCGATAATAATGACTGTTGCAATAAGATTTTTCAAAAAATATTTAATTTACAGATTCTACTCAGTTAAAATTTTATTATATGAATAAAATAAATAAACATAAATATGTTGGGACACTAACACACAGCACCATCTAGTTCCATGGCATTAAGCTATGAGGTTTGTTTTATGGATACCAAATAGTTGATACACTACACATATATAACTTTAAATACATACATAAATATAAAGTGCTCACCACACAAATGAAAGCCCCCAGCGGGATTTGAACCCGCGACCGCTGGCACAGCAAGTATAGCGTCACTACAAACAGACAAACGCGTCGTTTCGCGAGTGAAAGAAGTCGAAGGCAAAATCTTGTCATACGTATTACCATATCACATCTAATAAAGTAGCATAAACCCGACAGTCAATTAATGTGTCTAGATCGTGTATCGCATAAATTATTATAAGCTAAATAAATTTCCTTCAGGTATGATATTTTGTATGTATATTCAAATTTAAGTACGCATTTTTTGCGCAAAATTAGTCTTAGAAAGAATTTTCTTTCAAATTTTACTTTCTTTTTTTTCATAAATATCATACCGGTATCTTATTTATGTAATGTTTATACATGATGTGATTAAATAAAAATACACGGAATTTTAAACTCAAAAAAGGATATATATTTAAGAAAAATGGAAAACTAAACAGTGTTACCAACTATTTACTGTAATTATATTTCCATTTTATAACAATAAATAATAGTAATATAATAATTACATTACAGAACTTAAGCGCGTGAATTCGTTAGTGGCTATATACCTTATTCACGACGTTTCGACTGGGTTGCACCAGCCGTTGTCGCGGACAGACTGGCGATATACGGCATAATATATATATATATATATATATATATAATCTTATCCTATGTCCTTCCCGGGGTTTCAAACTATCTTCTTACCAAATTTCGTCTAAATCGGTCCAGCAGTTTCGAAGCTTATTCGGTACAAACAAACAAACAAAATATCTTTCCTCTTTAAAATATTAGTATAGATTAGAACAATGTCTTTTGCAAGATTTTTGCGATAAAGAACAGTACTTGTGATACATAATAATAATATTTTATCGCACGAGTGCTACAACGATGTGACAAACGTAGAGCTCTCTAACTGAAGTCCTTGATGACACACTTGAGAGGTCCTTAACTTCGCGACATTTATTTCC